CCGGCTGGAGTGCAGTGGCCGGATCTCAGCTCACTGCAAGCTCCGCCTCCCGGGTTTACGCCATTCTCCTGCCTCAGCCTCCCGAGTAGCGGGGACTACAGGCGCCCGCCACCTCGCCCAGCTAGTTTTTTGTGTTTTTAGTAGAGACGGGGTTTCACCGTGTTAGCCAGGATGGTCTCGATCTCCTGACCTCGTGATCCGCCCGTCTCGGCCTCCCAAAGTACTGGGATTACAGGCTTGAGCCACCGCGCCCGGCTATCATAGTTTTTAATCCAATATTGTGGCAAGAAAATAGTATCCTACTTCTTTTCTAATCTGAATATTTTATTTATTTTTCTAGTATACTTTTCTGGTTAATGCTTCCAGGACAGTGTAAAAACAGAGTGGAAAAAGTGTATATTCTTGTTCCATTTTTAAACTTACAGATACACCCTGCAGTTATTTACAATTAAGTATACTGTTAGCTATTGATTTTTTTTTCTTTCTTTCTTTTTTTTTTTTTTTTTTTTTTGAGATGGAGTCTTACTCTGTCGCCTAGGCTAGAGTGCAGTGGCTCAATCTCGGCTCACTGCAACCTCCGCCTCCCGGGTTTAAGCGATTCTCCTGCCTCAGCCTCCTGAGTAACTGGGATTACAGGCACACACCACCACACTCGGCTAATTTTTGTATTTTCAGTAGAGACGAGGTTTCACCATGTTGGTCAGGCTGGTCTCAAACTCCTGACCTCGTGATCCGCCCACCTCTGCCTCCCAAAGTGCTGGGATTACAGACGTGAGCCACCGTGCCCGGCCAGATATTGATTTCTCATAGATGCTTTTTAGCAGGTCTTACACGTTCCTTTCTAATAGATTTCTGAGTGTTTTATCATGAATGGGTGCTGGATTTGTTATACTTTTTTTGTCTATTTACATTGACACTTTTTTCTATTGTTCAAGTAACACTTTGTAATATTTTGGTTGATTTTTAAAATATTAAGCCAACACTGCATTTGTGACAAACTATTAGTTGGTTATGGTATGAAATCAGTTTTACCTGTTGCTAGATTTACTGTGCTAACATGTCTTTTTTTTTTTTTTTTTTTTTTTTTTTTTTTTTTTTTTTGAGATGGAGTCTTGCTCTGTTGCCCAGACTGGAGTGCAGTGGCACTATCTCAGCTCACTGCAACCTCCATCTCCCAGGTTCATGCGATTCTCCTGCCTCAGCCTCCCAAGTAGCTGGGACTACAGGTGCACGCCACCATACCCAGCTAATTTTTGTATTTTTAGTAGAGACAAGGTTTCACCATGTTGGCCAGGATGGCCTTGATCTCTTGACCTCGTGATCCACCTGCCTCAGACTCCCAAAGTGCTGGGATTACAGGCGTGAGCCACCATGCCCGGCTGTGTGCTAACATTTTTAATCACTTCATCGGGAATTCTGTTTATATGGAATTTTGATCCATAGTCTTCTTTACTTGTGATTCTTTTGTCTGGCTTTGGTATCACCGTACCCCTGGCTAGTGAATTAAAAGAAAAATGTTACCTCTGCTATTGACGAAAGTTTTTGTGAAAAAAATTATATTACATTTTTATTAAATGTTGGTGAAATTTAGAATTAATGCAATCTGACACTGAACTTTTCCGTGGAAAAATAATTTAATTAATACTTTCTCTTTTTATATGGGTATTCACTTACTCTCATTTAATATATGTGGATATATATTCTTCATTTTTGCATGTTGAAAACTGATTTCTCAGCATTATTTGTTGGACAAATTTCCTCCATTGGAATTTCTTGGCATCTTTGACAGAATTATTTTTACCTCAGATTAATACCTTCAACTTTATTATTTTAATTTACATAAATCAATTCCTATAGTAGTACTGTATTCTTTGATACATTGTAACTATAACATTACTATCATAATCTTTGCCTATCAAGAGGTTTTTTTGCTTTTTTTTTTTAAGACAGTGTCTTGCCCTTGTTGCCCAGACTGGAGTGCATTGGCGCAATTTTGGCTCACTGCAACCTCTGCCTCCTAGGTTCAAGTGATTCTCCTGCCTCAGCCTCCCAAGTAGCTGGGATTACAAGTGCCCACCACCACACCCAGCTAATTTTTGTATTTTTAGTAGAGACGGGGTTTCGCCATGTTGGCCAGGCTGGTCTTGAACTCCTGACCTCAGGTGATCTGCCTGCTTTGGCCTCCCAAAGTGCTGGGATTACAGGGGTGAGCCACCTCGCCCGTCTGGATATTTATTTATTTATTTATTTATTTATTTATTTATTTATTGAGATACTGTCTTGCTCTGTCACCCACTCAGCAGAGCAGTGTGATGATCTTGGCTCACTCCAACCTCTGCCTCCTGGGTTCGAGGGATCCTCCTGCCTCAGCCTCCTCAGTAGCAGGGACCACAGGCATGCACCACCACACAGGACTGACTTTTGTAGTTTTGGTAGAGATGGGGTGTTGCCATGTAGCCCAGGCTGGTCTTGAACTCCTGAGCTCAAGCAAAAGACATTTTTAAAAAAATTGTATACTAGTTTACAAACGTTTATATCCTAGGTACTTGACATGAAATAGTATGAAATAAAAATATAAAATAGGCCAGGCACGGTGGCTCATGCCTGTAATCCTAGCACTTTGGGAGGCCAAGGTGGGAGGATCACAAGGTCAGGAGATGAATACCATCCTGGCCAATATGGTGAAACCCTGTCTCTACTAAAAATACAAAAGTTAGTTGGGCATGGTGGCAGGTGCCTGTAATCCCAGCTACTCAGGAGGCTGAGGCAGGAGAATTGCTTGAACCAGGGAGAAGGAGGTTGCAGTGAGCCAAGATCATGCCACTGCACTCCAGCCTGGGCAACACAGCGAGACTCTGTCTCGGGGGAAAAAAAAAAAAAAAAAAAAAAAAAAATATATATATATATATATATATATATATATATATATAAATAAAATAAGGCCTTAACTTAATCAATAAATAACACAAATTTTACTCCATTATTAAGATGGAGAATATGACTATAATCACGTTAGTTAATACTTACGTTTACTGTGGGAGACCAATTAGTTACTGAGTAGAAATGAAGTTAATAATATTGCAATTTGACTTTTGACTTTGGAATGCATAAAGCTAGCAAACCAAGCCTCCCTTCTATATTTATCAACATTTAAGTAAGACAAAATGAATTTTAATAAGGACAGATAAAAAATAATACTATTGTATTTAAAGAAAGCTATGAACAAAAGATAATCTGACCATCACAGTCATTAGTATTTAATTCATACAATATGTAAGACAATATTTTAAGCCATTAAACATTTTTAGATTTAACACCTAAGAGTTTAAAGTGAATATGTTAAATATTTATTGAATAAAAAACTGGTACCTTTAAAAATTAGATTTTAATTGAAATATGATTAACAGGCCAGGCATGGTGGCTCACACCTGTAATCCCAGCACTTCAGAAGGCCAAGGCGGGCAGATCACCTGAGGTCACGGGTTCAAGACCAATCTGACCAAAATGGTGAAATCCGGTCTCTACTAAAAATACAAAAATTAGGCAGATGTGGTGGTGCGTTCCTGTAATCCCAGCTACTTGAGAGGCTGAGGAAGGAGAATCACTTGAACCTGGGAGGCAGAAACTGCAGTGAGCCAAGATCACGCCATTGCACTCCAGTCTGGGCAACAAAGCAAGACCCCATCTCAAACAAACAAACAAACAAAAAGATTATTCACAAAAATGGAAGTAAAATTTCCACAAATGTATAGAGCCAAAACCAGAGAAATAAATACAAATGGAACTGAGAGAAATTGTCCTTAAAACTGGAAATGGGTTCTTACAATACCTTAAACAAAAAAGGGTAAATTATTTTCAAAATAAAAACATTAATTTGGTTATCAATAGGAGCTTCTTAAGTGTGTAGTTCAAGAAAAAAGAAACATTTTTGTGCCTAAAGTTAAAAATAAAAATGAAAGAGTAAGAGACTTGATTTGGGAGCTGACATGTTCTTTTTTCAGGGTTATCAGTACCTGGCAGCCTTTCAACTACATACAACATTCTAGAGTTTACAAAATGTTTTTATATCCCATCTCTTCTCTGATCTTTATATGCTGTTTGGCTGTGCAAAATAGAGGCTAAAGTCTCATTTTGCAGATGAAAAAGCTGAGGCTTGGCCGGGCGCGGCGGCTCAAGCCTGTAATCCCAGCACTTTGGGAGGCCGAGACGGGCAGATCACGAGGTCAGGAGATCGAGACCATCCTGGCTAACCCAGTGAAACCCCGTCTCTACTAAAAATACAAAAAATTAGCCAGGCGTGGTGGCGGGCGCCTGTAGTCCCAGCTACTCGGGAGGCTGAGGCAGGAGAATGGCATGAACCCGAGAAGCGAAGCTTGCAGTGAGCCGAGATTGTGCCACTGCACTCCAGCCTGGGCGACAAAGCGAGACTCTGTCTCAAAAAAAAATAAAAATAAAAATAAAAAATGAAAAAGCTGAGGCTTAGAAAGACAAACATCATACACGAAGTTTGGGTCACAACTGCTATTAGAACACAGGACTCTCAAACCAGCGCTTTCCCATCACTAAATCACTCCTAGGATTAAGAATACATTAAGACTCCAAAATATAGAGAATTGCTCAATGCATTCTACCAGGATTAGACCTGGCCTACCCCAGAAAGCTAAGCCACTCTGGAGCCCTGGGGTGGAGAACTCGAGAAAAAGAATGATGCCTACATTTGCACGTCTGAGCTCCAATCCAAACTCGGCCAGTTATAGAACCTCACTTTCTGAGCCTCAGCTTTTTCTGCTATAAAATGGAACTACAGAAGGCTCCAAAAAGCTCAGGATAAGGGCAGAACTGCACTCTAAATAAATGCAGGAGTGCCTGGCACGTGGAAAGCACTCTGACTTTTAGTTTAAGAACATGAGTAGTATGTTGTGTTTCATTGTGTCTCCTCCATGGTGTCTGTTTCATGGCTCCAGATCCTGAGGGCTTCTGATCAATCCTTCTGCTAAGTGATGGACGAACAGATGAATGGATGGGCGGTTGAAAGGGTGGATGAAATGATGCATAGTTGGATGAATGCTCAGGAGAGCAGAAAGAAGTAAACAGAGAGTCAAAATGAGAATGAGGAGATGACTGAAGGATGAAGAGTTGATTTATGAGATAGAGGCATGGTCTCCAAACCTCCTATCCCCACCGAGCCCCACCAACACCTGCCTTGGGGTGGCAGTGGCACATGCTTCAGATGATGTCCCCAGTCACCATGACAGAGCTGCAGAAGGTGCCACAGACCTCAGACTGATCATGGCTCATGAGAAACGGGCTGAGAGCCAGCAGAAAAAAACCCCCCAGCAGTACAATAAAGTCGATGTTGAAGCTCTTCTCATCTGCCATGGCTGCCTGGCCAGGCCATAGACTATGCACTCCTGGCAGAGGGGGTGCATGTCATCCAGCATAAACATCCAGACAGGCTCACAGGGATCTGCAATTGCTGCCAATTGAGGCTTAAAGTTAGAGGGAGAAAAAGACCCCCTCAGGTCCAGACACAGTGCCTGCGCCCACAAGTTCAGCATGGCAAAAGGCAGCAAACTTCGGTGAACAATTGCACCCACCCACCCACTCACCTTCTCTCCTCACCCTCCTGCCTTTTCTGCAGGCTAACCAGTCCTGCAGCGCATGTATGAACATGAGTGAGAGTGTATGCAGGAAAGAGAGAAAGGAAGGTTACCAGGGCTAGGCCCAGCCAAGGCTTTGACATCACCTTATTTGCCTACTATAGGGATGAACTAGGTGGACAGGTGGCCGTATTATTACACTGTATTTATACAAATACACCTTCCAGCACTGGGAAGCAGCATACAATTCTGCAGCCAAGAGACATTAGAATGTGCAGGGGCCTTTGAAAACAGTATGCTGAGAATAGATAGGGCTCAAGGACAGTATCTCCAACTGAACTTTTAATGAACTCACGTGGCGCCAAGAGAAATGAGTAGATAAGAAAGAATATAGAAACAAGGTACTGGAAGTAGAAGTTACATGTGGGAAAAAGAAAGTTTGTTTTGCATTGCATTCTTTCTGCTGACCTGAGGGTTTATGGAGTATAAATGGTAGAGGCGGAGGCTCTGAGTGCGGCCGCCATGTTCTCTGTGTCTTTGTCTTTGTGTGTTCTTTCATTCTCCTACCACCAGTGCGGCCCCAACAAGTGGCATGGCGAGCAGGGTCAGCACGGGTGAGTAGGGAGGAACCGGAGAGGGGGCCCTGGGGCAGGTGAGACTCAGATATTGTTGGGAACCTTCTTAGCTTTCATTATGGGAATTCCATCTCTCTGGCCTCAGAATGTTATGGCTGTTTCAAGGACTGTTGCTGTCTATGGGAGTAGAAGTGAAAGAAAAAGACTTTGGAAGCGATTGTTTGCCATGTTATGAATATAACATTGTTGCGTTTTCGTATCAGACAAAAAGTGCAGCTGAATCGGAAAAATGGTTACAGGTAGTAAGCTTTGCTTGACTCTCCAGTTAGGATATTATGCCTCTAAAATTGTGGACAGCAGCAACTCTATCACTCAGACATTAGAGTTGCTTGGGACTGATTCAGAGTGTGGTAATGTAGCCACAGGAGGAAAGGTATCTGAGAAGTTTGGAAAAATAGAATAAATCAAAATAAATCTGAAATGGAGCCCCATTTGTGCCAGGGGTAGCAAAAGGGGAGGAGAAGAGAAAAAGCCAGCTCTTCCTTCTTCTAAGGAGTTCTGACATGCAGTGTATTATGGAAATGCTTCAACAAATATTACAGATACTTAACTAATTCACCTTTGTGAGCTTTCCTGTTTCTTTTCCTTCTGCCCTGCATTAAGAAGAATTTTCAGTGCCTCCAACCTGACCTATCTTTACCTTTGTTGCCAAGTTTCAGTCACCCCCAACAGGCTGAGACGGCTGGGGGCTGAGGCTGAGGCGCTGAGGTGGGCAGCCTGGCAGGTCCCTGCCACCAGGGAGTCGACCGCACACTTCACGTGATCCCAGGCTGCTTTCTCTCAGCTGCTCAATACTTGTTTTCTTACCATAGACCTCAGGCTCCTGCTCGGCGTCCTTTCTTGCTCTGTCTCTGTTTTTGCTGCATTCTATCCTTGATCTTTAATTTAGGATATTTCACTGATATAACTGAGGATGAACTGTGTTTTTAGCATTTATTTTATTACACGCTTTCTCCTGAATTTTGGTATCTTTTATGCTGACTTGATTAAACATTTGAAACTTTCAGAACTGATAAAATAGCTTTGATATGATCTTTTTCTTGAGGTCATAAAATAATTTACTTTGAAATGTCTCAGCCTAACAACTTTTGGGCTTTGTTGTTTTTGTGCAGAGGTGGGAAGGCTCCTTTGCATTTTTGGTATAACTTCTGTGTTAGCTATTAGTTTTTGTGTTTGCTTCGCACAAAATCATAGTGATCAAATGTTTTTCCAGCTTAGATTAACATGTATCATTTTGTGAATTAAAAAAATGTCTCATAAAAAAAAAAAAAAAAAAAAATTTTAGGGGAGCTGGATCTATTCAATTATTTGTGTTCTTTTGCTCCTAATGCTTAGTTTTCAAATGGTGGCAATAATGCTCAATTTAATGCCTTACAAATTAAATTTTTAAAAAGAAATGAAAGCTACCATTTCTAACTATGAACCCCTATCCTTGATGTATGATATTTTTTCATCAGAAAATTTGATAATTTCTATAGACTGGAAGACTTTGGGGAAAGCTTTTCTTGATCGTTCTCAGTGGTTACAATTGCACAGCTGGTAAATGAACAAAGGGCGCATGCCTGGAGCTAGAAAAAAATGTTATGTGTGATCCCCAGGAGCCACTGAGGAACAACTCACAGGCACAAAGGTGTCTTACTTTTAATGCTCAGGCTGGTCTAGAAGATGTTGCCCTTACTTAAATCAAGACTTTGTTTTTAAAGGCCTAAAATAAAGTAGAGATAACAGGAAAATCTTCCCTTTCCTCTGTGAAGATTTTACAGGGCACAAATGAACAATATTCAGATTTCGTGGCCGTCTTCAAGGATGCTGTCATGAAAATTGTGGGTGCTGACAGCAGCCCAAAAATTTTGTTACAAACGTTGTCTTTTAAAAAATGCTTATGCTGACTGTCAAAATTATTAAAATCATTAAAGGCCAATGGGGCCAATTTAGATAAATATATTAAAACTTGTGTTAGTGTTGGAAGGAGCCCCAACAATTTATGTCACCAGGTCTGAAAGTGTAGTTGGTTTATCAGTCTTTACAAATGAGAAATATAAGAAAGGAAAAAGAATGCACAAAATAACTAGGTTTTCTTGTAATAAATCACTAAACTAGTCCAAGGACCAAAAATGCAAGATCAGCGTCTGAAGGATGTGAGATTATGGTTCTACTTGTTACATTAAAAAAGAGCTAAAATTAATAGACGTAATAACAACAATAATAACAGTAATAATAGCCATTGTATACAGTACTTACTGTGTCTACTACTGTGAAAAATCTTCACTTGCATTTAGTTCTTCCAACATCCACTGAATGACAAATTTATAGTGTACCATTTTGTAGACAGGAAAACAGAAAGTTCAGACAGTTTTGTCCCAAAAATTATCCAAGGTCCCATATAGCTATTATATTTTGAAAATATGACTTTCTGTCCCCAGAGCTTACACATGTAGCCTTTCACCTCAGACTGCTCTAAGTACAAAAATGGTAGTCACCCTCCTTGGAATAATGGAGGAAAGAAAAATCAGTAACTAAGTAAAAGTTGTATCTCAGCACCAGATCAATCAACTGAAGTATCCATTTGGCATGGATAGCATCATTTGTGTTTGAAAACCAAAATCAAGTTAGTGTTTGTGGTCCACTATTTTTTTACAAAGCAGATACTCTATTGAATATTAAACTATGAACTGAATTTCTGTATATAATCACCTTATTTGTTTACAAATATTTATTTATTGACTAAATCTGCATACAATACCCAGTAGGCAATGGCCTACAACATCAAGGAATAAATTCAGTCCTCTCAAGGATCCCACACCTTACCCCAGTTTCTCAGCTTTGCTCTTAAGCAGCTAAACAGAAGCCTTCTGTTGGTGGCCCTCAACCTTATTACTGCCCATGCTTGCCCATGCTTGCCATACTTTGTCTCCTAATGAAGTATAACAATTAGCTATTAGAAATTATGGCCCCTTTGCCAAGGACATAATGTTATAATAAAGGAAGTCTTGTATGGTTTAAGTCTCACGATTGTTTGCCTGACGGGAATGTATTCTCAATAGGGAGGTTTGGTAGCACAGAAAAACTGTTTTTGGGAAACTTTAGTTTCTAACCAAAAGCCCTTATGTTCTTTACATTAATGGAAATAGTTTTAAAGGGTTAATTGATAGAGAGTGGTAAATATGTCTATTATTTGTTTAGTGAAGGCTATACAATAGGAAAAAGACAAGTTTGCAGTTATACTCACTGGCTTGGAGGTGCTGCTTCTGGTTTATCAAGACGTAGAACCTTTAGCCTGTGTCGGTCCTAAAGATTAACAAGGTCAAGTGTTTTTACTGACCTATATTATTCCTATCAATATTAATTTTGGGAACCAAGATCTTCCCAACAATTTGCTGCTTTTTAAAACATTCCTCATATTTCCTCAGCTGCCAAAAATACGATGTTCAAAATGGGCTACAATCACTAAACTCATAGCCACCACTCTCCTATTTATGTGAAACAGTGACATTATTTAAAGTACTTAGGATTCTCACAAAAGTGGTCAAAAAAAAACAAATGGCCGAGAGGAATACTCCAAACCACATGTTCTGCATAGAATTCCCGTCTTTGTCTTGTCTTAAAACTATAAATGTTTACATTAAACCTAAGGAAAGTTTACAGCCTGGTCTTCCTAATCCTGCCCTTATCCACAAGAGTTAAAAATTAATGGTCATAGATCTCAAAAATTGTTTTTCTTTATTCAGGAGTTACAACATCTTTTTCTTCTAGGAGACAGTCACTTGGACCCAGCTCACGTCATTTAACTCCTTGGCTTTACAGGAACTCCAGCTTGTGGAAGAGCAACTAAAAGGCTCATTTACGTTTTTATGTCCCTTGATATTCCCTTTGTTTATTTCATACTTTACGTTCTCCTACCAGAATGATTCTTCAGACCAATCAGCCGCTAAAGTGGATCTTTTGTCAATAAAACATCTAAATACTTGGCTGCCTATGATCGTTTAGCTGAACTGATCATCAAAGGGGGTGACAGCATCACTGTCGACAACTTTGGGGAGGAGATCCTTCGCCTTAATTATCTCAATGACAATTCACTCATAGTCAGATCATTTATCTTCTTGCAACTTCTGATTCTTGGCAAGAAGCTTCATCAATCTTGAGTTACAGTTTATCCTTATCCTGGTTTGCAATAAGGAAATTGTTTGCTATTCTCATGGTCTTATAATTCCCTACTACTGGTTGAAATATTGTTATTAGTTCTCAATATGCCGTTTATATTACTTCTTATATTCTCAAACCCTTTACTTTGTGCTACTTCTTCTCTTCAAAAACTCTTTTCCTTGTTATTTTCTACTTTGAGCCAACGTCGAGCTCCTTTATTCATCACTCATCTTTGTTCTCATTCTCAACTGCCTGGACCATTAGTTCATGGAAATACTCAGATTGATTCACTTCTAATTGGCCACCTGCAGGCTGCAGAACAGAACATGCTCTACATCACACTAAGCAGTTGGCCTTCCAGCAGCCGGTTTCATTTTAACTCATAAATGGCATTTCTCTTATTGACTTGTCCCTGCAATATGCTTTGACATTTCCATCCTTCCATCCTGGAACAACACAAGGGAGGTACTCAAGTTAATCAAATTTGACAAATGGATCAAGCCCTTCACATATTCCTTCTTTGAATGATTAAAATGTGTTCATCCTTCACCATTAATACTTTTCTCATTTTTCAATGGAGCCTCCGTTGCCATCTAAGAAAGCTGATTCTGTTATTACACATCTCTTAGCTTGTTTTTTGCCATTATAGGCATTCCTTTATATGGAAACTGATAATGCCTACTATATACTTTCATAAATTGATTTTCTTACAACAATACAATATTGAGCACTATCACGGGATCCCGGGCAACAGTCAAGGTCAGCCATCGCCAGTAGCAAATTTAACTAAAAACTCAGCTCACTAAAACGAAGGAAATGGCCCCCAAAAACCACATTTTTTGAGGACAACCTTTCTACCTTAATTTTTTTGATTTTGAAGGTTCTTTTTACTTTAATTATTTTTGAATCGAAATGAGAGCGTCAAATTGCAAGGCCTCCCAGCTGCAGCTTTCATTTCCTCTTTCTGGCAGTAGTCTGCAGTAATTAAGATTCGCTATTGAAGCAGGCATACGGCATTAAACGATAGGCCTGCCATGTCCACCACAGAAGTGGACCTAAGCCAAAGTTCTAAGTATTACGAACCGCTGAAAACTGATTCAGCGCTTTCTCTTATGATGCCTCGGTGAGACTTATTTATAGTGAGGCTTTGTATGAATCATTACACTTTATTCCCTTTCCCTTTGCCATGTCGGGAGTCGCCTGGGAGGCGGAAATTGAGTTTTCACCAATGACACTGGCAGATACCGTCCCTATAGACAAGGGACAATATAGAACAGGAAGCTTGAAATTATAAACAACACATACCAATTTGGAGTGGAAGAACTTCCAATATGCATGGGAAATAGTTCTCATTGTCTCCGAAAATAAAGTATGAAGCCTGGGTTGTTCGCTATAATCATAGTTATGTAGCTGCTAATACTGTTATTATAATCATACTGTATATAATGTGAAACTATTCCTAGTTCTTACCTTTGTCTATTCAGAGGTTCTCCTAATATTGAGGTGGAGTAGCAACAACTATGTCAAATAAAACAGGATTTATTAGAATACAATGGGATGCAAATAACTGATTGAAGTGTGCACATTGATTTTCAAATAAAGTTAGTCACATACCTTTGAAGTGCTTGCAGGAGTAAATAATGTGCTGCTAACAATAATGGAAACCTTGGTATGAGGTGTGAAGGGAGGCCTAGTAGAGTCATCTTTGGAAGTTTATTAGCTGCAGGCGATGCCATTAGCACTTTTGTGGGAATATATCTCTTAATCTTTCTAACCCAACTAGTTCCTTTCCTTATTCAGTTATGTAGATATCTCTCGATATATTATTGCTTGTATATAAAGCCCTACCTATTATTGAGGAATTTTGATATGGGATAATAATACGGAATTATTAATTATACAAATGCGAAGTGTACATTTTGTCTTGCCTCAATCATTCTTGGTGGCACAACTTTGCTGGGGATATTTATATCCTCCAGGGCTCGTAAATTTGGCTACCTGTTAATCTTGTGACCGTGGGGGCATCACCTCTTGAAACTTATATTTGGACTTCTCTTCAGCCCAGACCCTCCGTGCCCTTGGACTTATAATTGCCTCGACAGTGAGTCTTGTTGCCATTGCCTCCACTGCGGCTGTAGCAGGCTCGCTCTTCATCCAAACGATACAAAATGCTGAATTTGTGCAGCAATAGCATGTGACAATCACGATTATGGCTTCAACAATGAAACATTGATTCTCAACACTGAAAGATTGGACAACATGGAGCAAAGCGTTATTGTAGCTTGGAATCAGCTCACTGTACTCAGTACTCGGGTAACATTACAATGTGATTTGATTTCCTCAATTTTATGTAATGCCTGTGCCTTTTAACATCTCTCAAAATTGGACTGTAATCCGAAAATTATTAATTGGCCATAAAAATATTGATTTGGACATTCAAAGAGCTCACTCAGAACATTTCCGAAGCATTTTAGAGCCAACAATTACATGTGCTGTCTGGAACTGTAACCTTGCAGGAGCTGGGGCAGCGCCTTGCTGCCTTTAACACATGGACTCAGATAAAAACATGGATTTCTACAATCTCTGGATATCTTTAGGCACTTGGTTTGTGTCTACACTTCTTTTGGTGATTCGATGCTCCACTCCGTCGCCACCAAAACAAAAAGAAAACACAGGAACAAATATGGGGCTGCCTTTGAGGGTGAGGCAAAACAAAATTAAGGGAAATGCAGGAATACAGAGCAGTATGCTGAGAATAGATAAGGCTCAAGGACAGTATCTCCAACTGAACTTTTAATGAACTCCATGGCGCAAGGCGGGTGAATGAAAGAAATATGGGAAACAGGTACTGAGTAGGGAGAGGTTACATGTGGGAAAGAAAGTTTGTTTTGTTGCATTCTTTCTGCTGACCTGGGTTTATGGAGTATAAATAAGAGTAGGCGGAAACCAGTGACCGCCATGTTCTCTGTGTGTCTTTGTCTTTGTGTGTGTTCTTTCATTTCTCCACACCGGTGCGGCCCAACTTAAGGGCTACTGGAGAGTTGAATCTCACAAGCTGGATTTCAGAGTCTGAATTTTAGACTTTTCAGGACCTTATGCTTACATCTGGGTTCAGGCCTCAATGAATTTGTATTTTAACAGTGGTGACTGTGTGCATGCCTGCCATAACATGTTACACTATTAACTCACTTAAAGGACTCCATAGGCAGATGCTGCTTCCTTGACTTTACAGAGGACACTGAGCAGGGCAAGTAGCTTCCCCATGGTCACACAGCTGAGCCATGAGCAGTTGGAATGTAGACCCAGAGTCTGTGTGCTTAGCCACAGTCGGTCCTGCATGGCATAAAACAAGCCCTGGGTGCGTGAGCATCCTATCTGCCCAAGCAGACAGAGTGTCAAACTCATGAAGATGCCGTCAAGGCCTGCGTGAGCATACACTTCTCTGAAAGCATTCTGCTCATCAACAGAGCCAGCCGGTCTTTTCCTGATCACTTAACGCACCTATCTAATTCTCTCCACAGGCGGCCCCCTGGGTCTGCGGGAGTGCTGGCGTCCGGGTGGCCTGGCGCTGTCCCCAGCCCATTCCCCAGCCCGGGCAGCACCGCGAGGTGGGGCTCTTGGGCGCGTCCTGGGCTCTGGCCCACCCCGCGAAACCAGCTGCCTGCGAGGCCAGACCCAGCTCCACCCCTCCCGGGCTCCGCGGCTCAGGGCGCCCGAGGCGCGGGCCCGGCAAATCCTGACGCACAGTGTCCTTGACCTGGCTTGGCAGCTGCAGCCAAGGTCAGGTGTGGCTCGGGCTTGAGGCGCGCCCTCCCATCTCTCTCCAGGAGTCCTTCCTGCATAGCTGCCGGAATCCCCGCCAGACTGGCTGGCTCCCAGCCCCCGGCTGCAGCGTCGCCATCTCGGCCAGACCGGCTGACATCAAAGCTGACGGCGGTGGGGCGGCTGGGACGAACTGCGCCGGCAGCCCTGCGGTGGGGGCAGCGGGGCCCCACAGGGCTGCTTTCGGAACCGAGGGTCCTGGACCGCCCGCCCAGCACAGCTTCGAGCGAACTTGGGGAGGAGACACTCTAAGCCCATCTTGCCGCGCGCCCGACAGGCGCTCAAGTCAGTCCCTTTCCCCCATTCTACAGACACGAGGCTGAGGCCAAAGGCAGGACGCTCACTCCTGGTATTTGCTGCCTGTTGCGTAGACACCCACCGACCTGTTTACAGCGGTCAGGGACCCAGCCCCCCAGACCCCAGGACCCCCAGGACCCGCTGCCGGGGAGAGGGTGTCCTCAGCAGTGACCGCACCACAGCGCTGCTCACCGGGAGTCACTGCAGCCGGTACGAGGCCCGCAGGGCGCTGGGGATGCGCGGCCCGACTCGGGAACCTGCGCCTCCCAGGTAAGGGAGGCTGCGCACCCAGCTCGGCTCTGTGAGGACCCACTGGGGTCGGCATGCGGGCTGCGGCTCCCGAAGGCGGGGAGTTTCTGGAGAGGGTAGTTGAGCCTGGAGGAAGAGGATAGGCTGTGCCTGTGCATGTGTGTGCTGACTGTGTGTGTGTGAGACTGTATGTGTGGCTGTGCGTGACTGTGTACATGTGACTGTGTGTGTGAGACTGCGTACGTGGCGTGCGTCTGTGTGTGCGCGCGCGTATATGTCTGTGTGTGTACGTCTGTGTGTTCGTGCATATAATTTCTAAGTGGACATCACCTTACATCACAAGGTTAAATGACCCCTGGGCTGTACCCAGAGCCAAGCCCAGGGAGAAAGCCCACGGCCCAGTGCCTGGGACTGTGTTTCCTCTCGCCATATTCCGTGGAGTGTGTGATTTGCTAACTTCTGTCCTCAAGGAGCCTGAGGGCAGGGAGATTGAGACCATATCCAATCAGGAGCACTGGAATGAGAACTGCCCAGTCAGGCACACCCAGCCAGAGAGGAGGCGGTGGCTTCCGGGATGTCAGCGCCCAGTCTTTGCGTCTTGCTCCTGCCAGGCCTTGGGTTGAGGCTTCATTCTCTATACGTAGTCAGTTCTTAGGAGTCCTCGGTGATTTGGCCACAGCCTCGGCCTCCCGTTGCTCTGTGACCTGCAGGTATTGGATGATTCGTAGCTAAGACTCCTGGTTACACAAGTGGGAAATGGTGAGTGTGCGGGGCCAGGGCGTCCCAAGGCACAGGGAGATCTCATCGGAACCGGCGGAAATGGCGGCGGCGGCGCCGAGTCTGCGAACGGAATTTGCTGCCGCCGCTCAGCCCTCGGTCCTCAATCCCCTCCGGTAAGGGACCCGCGCTCCTGTCTGTCCCCGCACGGCGGCTCTGCCCAGCCTGCAGCCCTCCTCGTTCGGCTCTGCGCCCCGCGTCCGCACCTTCCCCGGGCTGTAGGGTGAGAGCTCTCCAGGAAGACGCCGGAGAGGCGTGCGGGGGCACCGCGTGGGAGGAGCTGTGGTCCGGGGTCCTGTCCTCTTTACCCTTTTCGAGAGATGAGATCAGAGGCCCCGTCAAGAAGTTCATGTGAAGAGCAGGGACTCATTAACGGGACAGCGCCCCGTGGTGTCGCAGTTTTGGGGATGCCAGCCGCTCTTGGAAGGCCTTTGTGAGGCGTGAGGAAGGAAGCCATTCACCCGCCACGCCCCAACTTTCCACCGGTCCCCTTGCCCTGCTTTCCCACCGGTCCCCTTGCCCTGAGCGCCTCCTCCGCGTGGCTGTACCTGAGTGGCATCTTTTAGAATACGCTGGTGGCGTGTGCACAGCGCTTCGCTGAGTTCCGTGAGTGGTTCTGCCACATTATGGAACTTGAGGAAGGTGTGGGCGCCCCTGGTTTGTTGGAGACGTTCAGAAATGAAGACGCGTGTCCAGAGGCAGGGACTGGCGTCTGCAGGGGGGCAGTTGCGGGAAGAGCGCTGAGCTTGTGGGTCTGCGCTGACTCTGAGTGGGGTCGTTAGTGAGTTGCTGGACAGCCCGTTGGGGTTGGAGCATTGACGGGTGTTGAGGAAACTCCTCAGGTTTTCTGTCAGAAGAAAGACATGGCTGAGCCTGGGCTGGAGGGAGTCGCCTGGTGTCTGCGGGAGGCGCGGCCGGGTTTTGCACATGCGCAGTCCCGCTGGGCACTGTCCTGTTCCTCCAGGTCTCCTCCCGGGGAGAGGGGACTGGGAACTTAGAGGAAAGGAGTTCTGAGAAACGTCCCTTCCCTGCACCCTGCTGCCGGCCCCCACCCAATGCTAACCCACTCCACTCCTGAGCACGCCCACTGGGCATTCGCATGCATGGCCACACTCGTCCCAGGACAGGGTTCTACCCTCAGGAATTGTGGCCATGGCAGCTTTGCTCCTAGCTTTTTCTGCCAAGAACACACACACTGCCCAGAAGACTCCTGGTTCATTTCAACCCCAGATCTGTAGCAAGAATCTGTTTTCTTCACCCACCTAGGCTTCTGGACCACCTGATCCTAATCTCCTCTGCCTTTATGGACTCAGGAATCAGTCAGAGCTTAGCCCTGCCTGGGCCTGAACTTGTAGCACAAACCAGTCCTTTCTTCAATCCTGCCTTGCCCCCACCCAAGGATCTTGATAGCACCTTTCTTCTGCGATTTTCTTCCCCACAAATCTTTCCTGTGCAGAGTTTGCCCGAGTGCATCCCTCATGTGCCACAAGAATTCAGACGTTAGTGAGTTCAAGACCATGCCTTTAGACCTGGCTATTATAGGACCAAATACAAATCAGAAGAGGCTTAATGCTTTCTCTTTAGAATGAGGGAAGAATTTTTGCTCTTCTCCCTTAAAGCATTTAGTTTGAAAATTTTTATATTTAAATATTTTCTCTGCTTATTTGAAATATATATAAATCATTTTAATCTGTTATCTAGGTGATTTGTCTTTTTTGACTCAAAATTGTCTTTAGGACATGGAAACTATTGCTTTGAAATATGAATAGCAAGAATATACACCTTATTCCACAATTTCTGTAGGAGAGTAGGAGGTTGCTTTCAGCAGGTACCTGCCTTCACGTTTCAAAATCTGCCTTCTGTCACTAAGCTGTGGGAAGTTTATTTTCCCTTTGAATATTACCAATTAGAAAACCCAGATGACCTCCCACATTACTAGGTGAAAGTGTAATAAACTGTGTATGATACATGGTACTGTCAAGTCTTCTACTTGAGAGCTAATTATGGTGTCTCTCTTTGTTTTGGCAATCTCTTAGTAGATTGCCTGTAATGCACATCACATTTTGTTTAATTCTATAACACGTTTTCTTGCAGTTCTATTTTTGTGGAGAGTATTTTAGGATTGTAGATGATTTTGCTGTTATATTTTCCACACACTGTCAAGAATTACTAGATCTTATACAAAAAGTGCCCACCAGGCTTCATCTTAGAGAAAAATCTCCTTTCTCAGGATTACGGTCACAACCCACAATTGTGCGACAAAGTGCAGCAAAGTGCTCCCCAAAGCTGCAAACGAAATGATCTCTCTATTTGGGATCTGCAGTCCCTTCTATAGCAGTTAGACTAGTTTTCTACAAAAATAACTTTTTAAGATAGCAATCAGTTTTCGACCTCTTTCAGTGCACCAGGCATCTTCAGATCTGACACTGAGTCAGAGATCATGGGGCCCATAAATCCAGCCAGGATCACACATGTGCATTGATTAAACCTGAGAACTTCAGTTCCCTTCTCCCCTTGCCCAAATGCCCACAAATGTGCGTAGCTTACCAGCCCTCCAAGTCTTAAATATGCAGTTCCAAATTCTGAGTTTATGTCCTGGGATTTGAGAGAAGAACAGAACTTTTATTTGAGAAATACAAGTTCTTTTAATTACGAAAACCAGTGATGTGTTAAAATGAGACCACAGTCCTACTGTTCCCCTCCTTGAACTGTTCGTCTTTTGAAATTACTTGCTATTGGCCGGGCGCGGTGGCTCAAGCCTGTAATCCCAGCACTTTGGGAGGCCGAGGCGGGTGGATCACGAGGTCAGGAGATCGAGACTATCCCGGCTAACATGGTGAAACCCCGTCTCTACTAAAAATACAAAAAACTAGCTGGGCGTGGTGGCGGGCGCCTGTAGTCCCAGCTACTTGGGAGGCTGAGGCGGGAGAATGGCGTGAACCTGGGAGGCAGAGCTTGCAGTGAGCCGAGATCGCGCCACTGCACTCCAGCCTGGGAGACACAGCGAGACTCCGTCTCAAAAGAAAAAAAAAAAAAAAAAGAAAGAAATTACTTGCTATTGCCACAAATGGATATAAATTAACCTAATAATGCCATACTGGACACTATAACCCACACCTTATAGCTTAACAACGTATATAACCAATCACTAACCAAAGTTACTTCTATAAACCAGTAAGAATTCCTGACAGCTTTCTGTCAGTTCCCCGTGCCTTTCTTTTTGTCTTTAAAAATATACTTGTAATGGCTTCTAATTGCAGTGTATATTCAGGGCAGCTTTATGGTCCAGGGTTGCAATCTTCAAGCTTTGGCTCAAATAAACTCTCTTCTTATATTATGTTTACCCCAACTTTTCACTTTTAGGTTAGAATCGTTTGTTTGTTTGTTTGTTTTTGAGACAGAATCTCACCCTGTTGCCAGGCGGGAGTGCAGTGGTACGATCTTGGCTCACTGCAACCTCCACCTCCCAAGTTCAAGTAATTCTCCTGCTGGGACAACAGGCACACGCCACCATGCCCAGCTGATTTTTATATTTTGTAGTAGACACGGGGTTTCACCATGTTGGCCAGGCTGGCCTCAAACTCCTGACCTTGTGATCTGCCTCCCAAAGTCCTGGGATTACAGGCGTGAGCCACCGCGCCCGGCCAAAATATTCTTTAGAAAGTGTTGAAGGAGTCTCCAGGAGGGCATCTCTCCTAGTTTTACTCTGCTTGCTATAACCCCTAAGAATGCTGAGGCACATTAATCCTACCTAGAATCTGCACATAAAAGCTGGCCTTTGCCTAGGATTCCCAAGACTGGGCCAGACTTTGGGCGAAAAACATACAGAAAACTCACAGAAGGCATTTTCTGCATCATGAGAGGTCAACATGGACATCATAAGCCCCACTTTCAGAGTGGAGCCCTTTGAGTTTTCCAGATCTTCTCCAATTACCTGGTATAGCTGTGTGCGAGACTTCCGGTGTAAACAGAATCCTGTGGTAGAATCTGTAAGTGTAAACAAGCACTTTAGCAGTGGGAGCTCAGGGCCACAAAATCTCCAGAGCCATAGTCACAACTATGCCTCCCTGTAGACTGTATTATTGGAGTAGAGTGCTTTTGTCCTTCCCCTTGCCCTAGAGTTAGTTGAAAAGGGACAGGGGCTTTCATATCTGGATCCAGGATCTGCAGCTCCACCACAGCTGTTCCATTTTCTGTTTGCACTCCACAAAGTCAGTCTGTCTCTCCTACCTGGATCACTATGGGGGTATAATCTGCCCAGGGTCGCTGGGGACACTCTCACCAGCATCTGTGAGTATTTGAGACATTTGACGATGTCCTTTGCAGACTGGGGTCAGTCTGACCCCAAGGTCTGATTCTGCTTCCATTTCAGAGAAAGAGAAATGATTCATCCAGGGTTTGTTCCTCGCCTCACAGAAAGAATCTCCTTGGTTTGTACCCAGATAAGAGTTGCTCCAGTTTTCTGATATTGGTGAAAAATGAGGAGTTCTGAAGACTCAAACTGATAATAAGCTATTGCTTCTATTTCAGATGTTCATTAGAAAAAGGCATGAAGCAGTCATGGTTGCTACCATCAAACTTGCAGTCTAGAGCACATGAATAAATGGTTGAATTCAGCATCATGTGTTCAGTACAAAGATGGAAACTGTACAGGCAACTTAAGCTTCCTTTGGGCTACTTCTCCTTTACTGTGTTTGTGAGTTTTGTTTTTTTTTTTTTTTTAAATAGACAGTATCGCTCTGTCACCCAAGCTGGAGTGCAGTGGTGCTATCCTGGCTCACTGCAACCTCCACCTCCCCGGTTCAAGCAATTCTCCTGCCTCAACCTCCTGAGTAGCTGGGACTATAGGCGCCTTCCACCACGTCGGCTAATTTTTTTTGTATTTTTAGTAGAGACAGGGTTTCACCATATTGGCCAGGCTGGTCTCGAACTCCTGACCTTGTGATCCACCGGTCTCAGCTTCCCAAAGTGCTGGGATTACAGGTGTGAGCCACCGCACCCAGTCTGTTTTGTGAGTTTTGATGCCACTACGTGAATGGCTATTCATTGACAGAAGAGAAATTGTTATTATTTGTATTGGGTTTACCTTGCTAAGAGTAAATATTTAACTTCTAATATAATTGCGCTAGAGAAACATAAGGGTTTTAGTTAAATTCCTTGTTACTGTATGTTATACAAAAGACAGAGAAGTGGCTAAAATAGATTAAAATTTCACAAATTCTGGGAATCAAATTTCTCTTGGGCAGGCTTAGAAAAGACAAAACCGAAAGTACTTAGTGACATAGAGAGCAGAAGCCTAGGGCCCACTTTCTGTCCCATCCCTGCCGAGATCCACCCTCTTCTGGTCCTTGTCCAGGTCTGAGGCCACACTGAAATCTCTCACAGAGCTGATTAGTAGAGGAGATCAGAGTTTCAGGTGGCTACTCCTACCTTCTCTCGAGAGCTGGTGCCCACAATTTTCTGAAACCCAAAAGCCAATAAATAGGGAAAAACTATTTACCTTGGGGCCTTAAATCTTTTCTATAAAATTAAAACTAGTGTTTCTAGAGACATCCCACCTAGCAACCTGTTCTTCATCCCTGCAGTTTCAGTGGCTTTTTCTTACAAGTCTCCAAGTAAATATAAACACAAAAATAAAAAATTCCTCTGAATTGTACTTAACACTTTCTTTCTGACTCTCTCCCATCTATTTATATTTAGCTATTATTCTATACATTAAAAAAAAAAATCAGTCAGGGGAAACAGAAAGGAAATGGAAATTCTGGACCCTGCATTTAAATCTGGGAAGTATGGGACACTTAGTGTCTTCCTCCCAGAATGTTATGAGAATTAACACACATAATGTGAGCTTCCCATCACAGTGCTCTGTGACATACGTCTGAGCACATATTACATGCCCCATAAAGATGGCATTAATGCAGGTGCACATGTTGTTTTTCAGATGCAGACTTAACTCAGGCATTGCCACCATTTCCAACTTCTGTAACCTTACAGGGTCTACAGAGGATGCCATGTTTCAGAATGATGATTGGTAGTCTTGTCTTGGGATAAAAAGTGTGTTGTGATAAGGGTGTTGGGGTAAGGGACTCTGTGTGCTGTGTCTGCTTTCTCTAACTGAGTGGTACTATAATGGATCTAGAGAGAGGAGCATCAACATTAACAGGAGGCTTGCTGTAAAAAGCTAATTCATGGACCCTTTTCAAACCTGCAGAATTTTGTTACTTACAGTGAGGCCTAGAATATCAAATAATTTATATGTACATTGAAGCTTGAGAGGCAGTGCTTAGCTCAGTGACCCTCGGCCCAGTCTTCCAGTAGGATCACATGGCCAGTTTGAAGAGAAACTGTCAGCTGTATCCTCTTCTCAGATCCTGTCTATTTTTCTGGGTGAAAACATCCTTATTTTTAAAATTCAGTTCCTTGCATGATTCTACAGTGAGGCCAGGGTCACGCATGAGGGCTTCCAGATACTTTACTGAAAGGTGAGTTCACCCTTTGTTCCAGGAGCTCACAGGGCCTACTCTGCTTGGTTTTGGTAGGGGCGTGTCAGTGTAGCCCATTATTTTTATTGCAGCAACAGAAACTTTTGGAATGCCTTCCTTTTTCTGCAGAGCTATAGAATACTTTAGAGAACATTACTGTGTTGGAAGTTATTTTGTCAGATAATCCCAGTCAGTCACATGTCAGAACTACTCTCTTAACTCATTTCACCTGTAGTCAAATTAAGAACTCTGTCACTTGATACGTATGTATTTTCAGGAACTCTTAACATTCAGGGATGTGGCCATAGAATTCTCTCCAGAAGAGTGGAAATGCCTGGACCCTGCCCAGCAGAATTTGTATAGAGATGTGATGTTGGAGAACTACAGGAACCTGGTCTCCCTGGGTGAGGATAACTTTAATACATAATTCCTAATTCATCTCAGAGCTTTATTTTATTCCTTTGAAGAATTTCTCCTGGGAACTTTTATGTTTTATCTTTACATAACCTTCTCTTTTCTTGAGTTAATTTGAGTCCTTCACTCTAGATTAGTGGTAATTCTAGAAATTCAATGACATGAAATATTGTTTTCCACATCTTAAAATCCAATTTGCACTAGTTATTTTTTATTCAGTAGTACTGGGTAGTGGAACTTAGAACCTGCAGATTTAAAATACTTAAATATTCTAAAGGTTCTGTCAGGAAACAATTTTTGGATTAATTTTCTAGAATCTTCCATAATATCTCTCTAGTCTGCTTAGCATAATACTAGGTTGGTAATTGGAGAATCCCCATCAATATTCATGTTATTCTTATTTTTTTTAATAAAACAGGTGTTGCTATCTCTAACCCAGACCTGGTCACCTGCCTGGAGCAAAGAAAAGAGCCCTACAATGTGAAGATACGTAAGATCGTAGCCAGATCCCCAGGTAGGTGAGAGTGAATGAAGCAGAGGACACAGGCAAGGGGACCAAAGGTCAAGAAGGAAGCCAGGCCTTAAAATGTGGTTTGGGGCCGGGTGCAGTGGCTAATGGCTGTAATCCAAGCACTTCGGGAGGCTGAGGCGGGTGCATCGTGAGGTCAAGAGATCGAGATCATGTTGGCCAGCATGGTGAAACCCCGTCTCTACTAAAAATACAAAAATTAGCTGGGTATGGTGGTGCGCACCTGGAGTCCCAGCTACTCAGGAGGCTAAAGCAGGAGAATCACTTGAACCCGGGAGGTGGTGGTTTCAGTGAGCCAAGATCACACCACTGCACTCCAGCCTGGTGACAGAGCTAGACTCCGTCTCAAAAAAAACAAAAAACAAACAAACAAACAAAACCAGGTAGTTTGGGAAGCTCTGCTCCAATGAAAATAATTTCTGAAAAAGCTGCATTTTTTCTGTCCCATGCTGTTAAATCTTCAAAGAATTCTCTTTTTGCTTTAGTGATCTCCCCTTAAGTTTACAGAGAGAGCTAATGTCCACTTCATCGCTTATAAGGGGCTGCATGATGTGACTGCTGTTCCATTGCTTTTGGAGACATTGGAATATTTGTGTTATTGAGGAGCTCTATGTCAAAGTATTTTTTTCAAATATTCTTTTTGTATCATATCTGAAATGTGTAACATGAGTAGTGGACGTACTGGGATTTGGTTCAGAAATCCCAGGAACACCAGGGACAGATGTTGTGTCTTTTCTACTTAGTGTTCCTTAATCCTATGGAGGTTGCAAATGTACTTCTACAAAAATTCTTATGCAGCAATTTTGTCAGAACAATAAGCACTTCCCAAATATGAAAAAAATGTAATGTTATTTTACTTCAAAATGTTACTGTTTTAGTATAAACTTATTTGTAATTTAAACTCTATATGGGCAAATATTGAAATTATAATATAGTTTAAAGTATGGGTTTCTAACATTTTGGCTTCCCTGGGCCACACTGGAAGAAGAATTGTCTTGGGCCACACATAAAATACACTAACACTAATGATAGCTGATGAGCTCGGATCACCTGAGATTGGGAGTAGGAGACCAGCCTGACCAACATGGAGAAACCCCGTCTCTACTAAAAATACAAAATTAGCTGGGTGTGGTGGCGCATTCCTGTAATCCCAGCTACTCGGGAGGCTGAGGCAGGAGAATTGCCTGAACCCGGGAGATGGAGGTTGCGGTTTGCTGAGGTTTCACCATGGCACTACAGCCTGGGCAATAAGAGTGAAACTGTCTCAAAAAAAAAAAAAAAGTTTTTGAAAAATTTTTGTGATATCCTCCACCACAGAAGATAAGCCAAAAAGTCCTTGCATTCAAAGGGTTGGACACCACTGGATTCAATATCTACTCACCTTCTGTATTTCTTAAATGCACTGTATCATTAACCAGCATAAATGTGCTATGTCATTTACCAGCGTAGAACATTGCTAAGTGTATGTTAAGCTCTCAGTTATTCTCTTGTTAATAACTTTTATAATTTTGTCTTAGTAGGAAGTCTGTTGAGATTCTGTCATTGAGATGTATCTCTCTGTAGTTATATAAAAATGTGTGTCTCACACACACACCTATATAACTTATTTAAGTGTGTAGTAAATTCTCACTTAACATTGTTGATCGGTTCTTGGAAACTGAGGGAAGCAACATATTGTTTAAGAAAACTAATTTTCCAGAGTTTAATTGATATAAATAAGAGTTATATTTGAATGGTATATAGCAACATTGTTTTATTTAGCAATGCAGTTTTTAAGAACCTAGTTTGAACATTAAGTGAGGACTTACTGTACATCTGTTTGTGTGACATAGATTTTTCTGATAAATAAAAACTACATAACTTTATATTTAATAGGTACAACATGATGATTTGATATGCATCTACATTGTGAAACAATATAGTCAAGTTCATGAAGAACTTTATTACTTCACCTGGATAACCGTTTTGTTTGGTAGTAAGAACACTTAAGGCCTACTGTTGTAGCAAATGTAAAGCATACATTATAATATTAACTATAAATATAATGCTATTTTGGTAATCTAATGCTAATATACATTAGATTTCTCAGATTTACTCAACTTACAACTAAAAATTTGTACTCTTGAACAATATCTCATATTCCCACCCTAGGCACTAACAACTACCATTCTGCTCTCTGCTTCCATGAGTTTACACTTTTAGATTTCCTGTCTAACTAAGAAAATTTAGTTTCTTGTCTTTCTGTGTTTGGCTTATTTCGTTTAGCATAATGTTCTCCAGGTATATCCATGTTGTAAATGGCTAGATTTCCTTCTCTCTTATGGTTGAATAGTATCCTCTGTGTGTGTGTGTGTATATACACACACACACATATATGTATGTACACATATATATACACACACACATATACGTATGTACACATATATGTACACACACACATACACACACACACCATATATTGGCTATTGTAAACAGTACTACAATAAACTTGGGGGGGAAGATATTTCTTTGAGGTACTAATTTTATTTCCTTTGGTAGTATGCCGAGAAGTGGTATTGCTGGATTATATGATACTTCTAGTTTATTCTTTTTTTTTTTTTTTTTTTTTTTTTTTTTTTTTTTTTGAGATGGAATTTCACTCTTGTTGCCCAGGCTAGAGTGCAATGGCACACTCTTGGCTCACCACAACCTCCGCCTCCTGGGTTCAAGCGATTCTCCTGCCTCAGCCTCCTGAGTAGCTGGAATTACAGTCATGTGCCACCATACCCGGCTAATTATGTATTTTTAGTAGAGACGGAGTTTCTCCATATTGGTCAGGCTAGTCTCGAACTCCCAACCTCAGGTGATCCACCCACCTCAGCCTCCCTAAGTGCTGGGATTACAGGAGTGAGCCACTGCGCCTGGCCTAGTTTATTTAATTTATTTATTTATTTATTTATTTTGAGACAAGAGTCTCACTCTGTCGCCCAAGCTGGAGTGCAGTGACTCGATATCGGCTCACTACAACCTCCGCCTCCCGGGTTCACACCATTTTCCTGCCTCAGCCTCCCGAGTAGCTGGGACTACGGGCGCCCACCACCACGCCTGGCTAATTTTTTGTATTTTTAGTAGACATGGGGTTTCACTGTGTTAGCCAGGATGGTCTTGATCTCCTGACCTTGTGATCCACCCACCTCAGCCTCCCAAAGTGCTGGGATTACAGGCATGAGCCACTGTGCCCGGCCTGTAGAGTTTTAAAAAATTTTGTTTTTATTTTTTCCTTTGATGTGCACAAGCTGTTTACTTTGATGCAGTCTCACTTGTTTATATTTTGTTTTGTTGTTCTGCTGTTGATGTCATTTCAAAAAAAGTTATCGCCAAGACCAATATCAACAAGGTTTTTCCATATGTTTTCTCCATGAGTTTTAAGATTTCATGTCTTACATTTCAGTCTTTCGTTTTGAAAGTTTGAAATTAGAAAGCATGATGCCTGCCAGACAAGGTGGCTCACACCTGCAATCCCAGCACCTTGGGAGACCGAGGTGGGCGGATCACTTGAGATCAGGAGTTCAAGACTAGCCTGGCCAATATGGTGAAACCTTGTCTCTACTAAAAATATACAAAAACTAGCCAGGCATGGTAGTGGACACTTGTAATCCCAGCTACTCGGGAGTCTGAGGCAGGAGAATCGCTTGAACCCAAGAGTCAGAGGTTGCAGTGAGCCTAGATCGTGCCACTGCTCTCCAGCCTGGGTGACAGAGCTGGACTCCATCTCAAAAAAAAAAAAAAAAAAAAAAAAGTATGATGCCCCCAGCTTTATTCTTTCTCAAGATTGCTCAGGTTATTACAAGTCGTTTAAGGTTACAGTTAAATTATACAATTGTGTTTTCTATTAGTGTGAAAAATGCCAATAAAATTTTGATAGGGATCACATTGAATCTATAGATCACTTTGGATAATATTCTTTGACAATATTAGTTATCCTAATGGAATATGTTTCCATTTATTTGTTTCTACTTCAATTTCTGTCATTGATAATCTTATTGTATTTAGTGTATAATATGTTTTATATGTCATTGGTTAAATTTATTTTGATTAACTTTCTTATTTTTATACTATTGCAAATGAAAATGGTTTCTATTTTTGGAAAGTTCGTTTTCACTCTATGGAAATGCAAGAAATATTTCTATGTGGTGCCAGGTGCAGTGGCTCATTTCTGTGATCCCAGCACTTTCAGAGCCCAAGGCAGTTGCATCATGGGAGTACAGGAGTTTGAGATAAGCCTGGGCAATAGAGTGAGACCCTGTCTCAAAAAAAAAAAAAAAAAAAAAAATCCCAACAAGCATCTCTATGTTGATTATGTATCCTGATACTTTAATGAATGCATTTATTAGTTCAATCAATTTTTCTTGTTTTACTCTAGGGTTTTATATATATGCATGATTATATTATCCACAAACAGTAACATTTTTATTTCTTTTCCAAGCTGGAGAGCTTTATTCTCCTTTTCTTTGTCTAATTATTCTGATACAAGTTTCCAGTAATATGTTAAGATAGAAGCTGTGGCCCTGGAGGCAGGCCTGCAGGTCTTGTCCCCAGCTATGGTCTCTGAAGCAGCCCTGTGTCTGTACATTTGACAACTTTTACAGTTTCTATAAACTCTTTTTGGCAGGTAAAGATCTCCTTTTGTTGAGTCCCCAGGCTGATGAGATTAACTCTGGGGTTACAGAGAAGAAGGATTGTAGCTGGGTCAGAAGGTTGCTGCTGGGTCTGCTGTGGGGTCTGCCTTTGATGGTTCTATTACCAGAGATTTGGAGAGTCATGGATTCTTTCTGGGCCCTGGAGAGATTAAATTTCCTTGAGGACATTAATCTATATGGCAGGCAGTAAACTAGGGTTTTGAAGTTTGCATATTATGGGCCAAATACCAGGTGTATGAATGGGTTTGGCTTCTACTGATTACCTGGGAACAGTTTCCACGCTTTTCTCTGTGAGTCCCTGATTGT